AATTCTTTTTGCTATACAAAGATGTGTCTCTATAGTGCTTATTATTTAAGCAAGTTCTCTTACGCAATGTCCTTGTTATTAGATAAGTGTGTAGAATGTGTGCAGAAGGGTAGCTACTGTAACGCCTTTATGTTAGACACAGCTTAGAATTGCTTAGAACAGGAACGCAAAAGGCTGTTAGCAGAGGCAGAGGTAGTTTAAAAAGATAAGATGCGCAAAAAGAAAAAGTTACTAAAATGTCTTTAATTAATTATTTTTTATAAGAAAAGAATTTAGAAGTAATTAAAAGTGTTAAAGGATTAAAAAGTAAAGTATTTAAAAAAAGACCTCTTATCTCTAGACAAGCTTAAAGCGCTTAAGGCAAAAGCAGCTAGTCTTTCTTCTTCTTAGCTTATGTTAAAGGGTTGTAGACTTTCTATATTGCAGCTAGCTAATGCTGCTGTAGTTTTAACTAATAATAGTGTTTTCTAGTCTAGGGAGCTTTCTCTAGGGTAGTTTTGTTTAAAAGGGACTTTAGGTAAGTGTAAAAGGCCTAAGGAGTGTTTAACAGGCTTTTAATAGGTTTCTAGGTGTTTTTACTAGTAGGCTATTCTTTTTATTTTACTAAGTACTTATTTTCTTTATAGTCTAAGATCTTTTTTACTTTATATTTCTTTTCTTCTTTTTTCTATCTAGTAGTTGTAAGTAGAATAGTTTTAGGTGTAAGTTTAAGCTTAGAGACATAAAACTAAGAGTGTCTGTACGTAAGTACAGCTGTGTCTGTACACGCGTACAGCTGAATTAGGTTGCCTGAAACGTTAGCTATCTAGCCTGTGCGTTAGGGGCTATGTGTACTTAAGAGCCCTCTTTCTTTATATAAAAAGAGAGGGCAGTAGTTAATAACAAAAAAATCTTTACTTACTTACCTCTTAGTACGCCCCTTAGGCGTATGTTTGTTTAATTAAACCTAAGTTAACTAACACTAATTAGTCTATTAATAAACTATTTTACTGCAAAAGCTTAAACCTACTATGTGCGTAGCTACACAGAGAGGGCTTTTTAAGCCTTTACAGAAAACCTGTCTTTTTAACAGGTAGATTTGTAAGGATTAATAAAACTGCTACTGTACAAACAGCTTACTCTCACTGCGTGTGTAGCCACGCAGAGAGGGCTTAGACGCTCACACCCACCGCGTGCGTAGCCACGCAGAGAGGGTGTAAATAAGCATTATGCGCGCCCCTAGATTAACTAATTACATAAAGACAAGATTAGCAACCTGCTGCGTGCGTAGCTACATAAAAAGGGCTTACTGCTAAGCCTTTATGCGCTCTAGAGCCTTCTATTAATATAAGCTGTGTAACTACTTACCTACCGCGTGTGTAGCCACGCAGAGGAGATAATATAAGCTGCATAATTAGAAACCTACTGTGTGCGTAGCTATACAGAGGAGGCTTCTTATTAGCAGCTTACTTTGTTAACACCCCCTTAATTAATTACCTATATAAGAGGTAATTAATTAGTTAACATCTATTACACGTACAAAAGCCTGCAATATACCTCCCCCCCCCCCTATGTTGCCTAAACACGCTGCAACCTAACATCTATTGCCTACACAAAAGGTAATTAACTAACACCTCCCCCTCCCCTCTCCCTAGGGATCTATTGCCTGCACAAAAGGCAATTAACTAATACCTCCCCCCCTCTAGGGATTAATTACTCGCACAAAAGGCAATTAACTAACACCTTTTTCCCCCCCCTCCCTAGGGATTAATTGCCTGCATAAAAGGCAATTAACCTACACTTCCCCCTAAGTTATAGCGTCTTTATATACCTTATATAAAAAGTTATTAGGGGTTACACATGTGTCTAAAATAATCTTACATAAAGAGGTGGATTTAGATCTTCTGCATAATAGAATAAATATAGACTCTTCTCTGCTATAATAATAAGCTTTATACACAGTATACATCCTCTCTAACATGTGTAAGCTGCTAAAAAGAAAGTACACACTATAAAAGTAAAATAACTTTAAAAGATAAATAATGCATAATTTTAATAACCTTTTCTATGTAATTAAGTAAGAACTTTTTCTTACTCTAGCTAAGTATAAGCACTATTCTAAAGGCAAGTTAAATTATACGCAAGCTAAAAAGCTAGAGGATATTATAAATAAAAAAAGCACTAAGGGTTAGCTCTAAAAAAAAAAGTAGAAGAGTAAGAAAAAAAAAGAAAAAAAAAAGTAAAATTAACATACAGATAAGTAAGTAACTTTATAAAAGTAAAAAGTTACTAGTGTTTATACATAAGTATAGCTATGTCTGTACATATGTATAGCTAAATTAGGTTGCCTAAAACATTAGCTATCTAGCCTGTGCGTTAGAGGCTATGTGTACTTAAGAGCCCTCTTTCTTTGTACAAAGAGAGAGGGTAGTAGTTAATAACAAGAAGATCTTTGCCTACTTACCTCTTAGTACGCCCCTTAGGCGTACGTTCGTTCGATCGAACCTAGGTCAACCGACAAAGGGTGTATTTGCATTTCTTTTAGAAGTTTAAGTTTATAAGTGCTAGGGTGTGTTTATATAACTTAGTATAGTCTTATGTGCTTTTTAGCTAGTTTTTAGAAAAGTTATAGTGTTTTAAGATTTTTTATGTCTAAATATATATAATTATTAAGGTGTATTTCTAGTGCTAGTTCTCTTTTCTAATTTACTGCCTTTTCTATAGCTTCCTAGGCTAATTAGGCTTCTCTAGTAAGTTTCTAATGCAGCTTTAAAAGTCTAGTTATGTAATTTATAGCTTCTAAAAGGTTAGTTAGTTGTAAGCTGTAAAGCTTATATTACAAAGAGTATCTAAAATTAGCTTTGTATAGGGTTTCTTTAGTTATAGCTAATTCTATAGTGTTAATAGCAAATTATGCTATTAGTAGCTATTCTGCCTAATCTATTTGTTTATATAAGACATATTTGCGTAGGTACTTTTCTACTTCTGTGTTTACTTTTTCTGTTTGTCTGTCTATTTACAGGTAATAGGCAGTAGAAAGCTTATAGTTAATTCTAAGGTGCTTAACTGCAGCTGCCTAGAATTTACTAGTAAATAGTTTATTATAGTTAGAGATAATAATCTTAAGGCAGCTATAAGTAGCTAAGACATTCTTTTCTAGTTTAAACATAAATTCTTTAGCTGTAATGCTTTTTTCTAATAGCTATAGGTAGACAAACTTAGTAGTTTTATTAATAACTTATGTAATTATGTTGCATAGTCTTTCTATACTAGGTTCTTGTAATAGTAGTAGTCTAGTAATAAAATCTATAGTTATTATAGTCTATAGTTAACTTAGCGCTGTAATTAGTTAAAGTAGTCTATAAGGTTTATAGCGCTAAGGATTATTCTTGTTACAAGTGTTGCATTTCTATAGAACTTTAGTACATATGTCAGATATGCGCACCTACTGTCAAGACAGGAGGAACGTTTGACGAAAAGCGGCTACATAGTACGAGCAATAAGCTCGAACAGTATGTTGCTGCAAATTGCAGCATTTTGCAGCATTTTGCAGCATGTTGCAGCAAATTGCAGCATTTTGCAGCATGTTGCAGCAAATTGCAGCATTTTACAGCATGTTGCAGCAAATTGCAGCAAATTGCAGCATGTTACAGCATTTTGCAGCAAATTGCAGCATGTTGCAAGCTGGTCGCGCATAGGGCTAGTGCGCGAGGGACTCGGATCGGAAAAACAAAAGCCGAGCGACACGAGTAGAACAGAAAAAGGATCGATAAATCAATACAATCAATCAATCATCCCATACATCATATCCAAACCCATCATTCATCTCAGGAAGCCTAGAAACAGTGCTTCAATCTGACAACAGTCTACAGTTAGACTAGCGTAACTCTACCTAAGGTGCTCTAAAGTCTTAATAAATTAGCATAAAACCTGTTTACATTTTAACAACTAATTAGCCTAGATGCTATAAACTAGTTTTTAGCACTAACATAAGTAAATAAATGCGTTACCTAATAAAAGCAAAGCTAAGACCTTGTAAAGTGTAGCAGCACCTAGCATACTATAGGTTGCAAGGTACTGCTAGAAGCAATAAGGTGTTGCTAGGTTTTAAGACACAGAGTGTGTATATAGTTATCTTAATCTACTACTATTTAGAGAGGCGTAATTAACATTTAGTTTATCTTTATATAGACTAAGTTAGCATTTCGCTTTTTAAAAAGTTGCAATACTATTTATATATTTAGCTCTATATATACCTTCTATCCTGTTTAACTAAACTACTTGACCTAGCGCACCTATACTGCTGTACAAGGGCAAACCACAATCTAGCCACCCACCTTCCCCTTCTTGTCCCGAGTCGACCAAGGACTGTACATCCGGCCGCCCACTCTTCTTGTCTCCCTCTTCTATTATAGGCCCGCGTGCTTCTACAGAGCAAGGATTGTAACACTATAGGCCTTGTACAGAGGATATTAGAAAACTATTAAGCTAACTACAGAGGAGATGTGCAACTAAATACATAGGGGAATAGAGGTAACAGTAGGGGGCAGGGCTGTAACGACTCTCACGAATCGTTCCATCTCGGGTCGTTCAGAACCTATCCGAAGGGTCCCTGTATCAGCCCTAACTATAACTTAATCCTGTCCCCTGCAGTTACCCCTATTCCTTTATATCTTTAGTCGCACCTTGCCTCTATAGCTAGCTTAGTAGTTTTCTAATATTCTTTTATACAAGGCTCAGCTCCACTAGCGTGCTCACGGGCCACCGGCCCATACATTTTGAAAGCACCTCTGTAGATATATAGAATTTTTCAGTAGAAGAGATGGAAAGGATGAGAGGGCGTTGCCGTCTCTAAAGACTTCTGGAAAGCAGGGTCTGAGTGGAGCATATCTTATCGGCTAACGCTGCCAAGCGCTACCGTTCATTGGCTGCAGCGTTCGTCGCTTCTGTTGCCGCAGTGATTGGTGCTTGCGACTGGTCGTTGTGTGCGTGCCCTCTACTGCAACTCCACGATCTTAGCCCAAGCATTGCGATCAACCTCGGCCATGCCACCATGCCTATCATCCTCCAACTCGACATCCCCCCTCAATCGCGTAGAAGCCTGGTTGTGGAACTCCCCTCCAGCGTCTTCGAGTCCAATTGATCGCTTGCGCAAGCGAAACTGCGATGCTGATATGTCGCGCAACTTGAGCCCCAAACGACAACGCGTTGACATTGATGATGTGCTGCCAGCCCAGAGCGCATCGCAAGTCGGTAGCATCAGCGTTGTGGATCTGTCGGACCGCACGACCTTGACTGCCCCACAAGGGTCCAAGAGGAGCTCGAGTCCCACGCGCCATCTCACCGAACTCCGCACTGCGACGCCCTCCATCACGCTCAGCCCCTTCAACCAGGTCAAACAACCGCCGCCAGTCGACGTAGCCGCCCGCATAAATAGACTTCGCAGCCACTTGGGGTGTCGTAAGGGCTTAGAGACCTGCTACATACCTGCAGGCCTGCGCCAGGCCATTGAAACAGATGTGCTCTTCGTGCCCTCCCTCGCCATGGATCCCATCGACCCGGATGCGTACGACTACGAAGATACGCGACAGGCCAGCGATCCGTCGCTGGTGGATATGCTGGATCGCGTCAAGACCATCTTCCAAGACGCCTGCCATTGTACTGAGTTTGGGCGCGACGAGAACGCCTGGTGCTATCGCGTTGTTTGGCCATTGATAGAGCTTGCTATGAAGCTGTACGGCGGTGCTAAGTTTAAACTCGAGAGCGTGTATGGCTTTTGCCGAGTTTAAGCTCGAGAGTGCCTGCGTTCTGTACTGACTGGCTTCAGGCAGTCGCAAAACATCCAATCCCGCTACCTTTCCACCATTCCCGAGCCTACGCCCGCATCGCCTAACAGAAGAGTTGCGTTCACGCGCAAGACCGACTTCTGCTTTTCGTACTCGTATTTCAACCCTCATTTCGCAGAACTATATACACAATTGGCGGCAGCGAATACGCCAGTTGTATCGCACACAACAGACAATTGCATCCAGCGCCTGGGACTTTTCTCAGGAATCGAGGTCAAACCAGAAAACGGCGATCTCAAGGAAGCAGAGCTGCAGATAACTATTTGGATGGCAGCAAGCTTGCGGAAGAAGATGGAGCTGGGGCACCTGGCCTTCCCTGTATCCGACGTGCCACCCGCACCAGACAATGTGGCAGACAACGCAACTAGCTCTACCAACAAGGTCGGCGCCAACGTTCGACCCTTGCACCTCATTGAGCCCGCGCTCACCATAATTGGCAACGAGCACAAAGTCTACTATGCGTACCCCTCCAGTGCGGAAGGCGACATAAGAGTACTAGGACCTGACGAGAAATTCGCGCACTTGACGACGCGCTCTGTGCAGGGAATATTCAAGCTCTTGCGATTCTACGGGCGGATGTTGGAATGGGGAATTGGTAAAGAAGCGAGCACACAAATGGAATGGGGACTTTAGGGAGCCTTTCTTAGACCAGTGCTTAGGACCCTTGTTGGGGGTGGGTGATGCCTAAGGAGGCTGCCTCTAATTTTGAATAGGGTCACTTTAGGCGCGCACAACTATGCCAGCTCTGAGTTAGGCGCTAGGAGCAGGAATACCCTCTACGGGCATACAGGGAGCTGACCAGTCAAGTCATCGGAATTGACGTCACGTCCTCCACGTCGTCGAAACGGTCCAGACCAGACAAAGTCCTCTATGTCTGACGCTCGCGCAGACTTTTGACTACTGAGAGGATATTGTTCTGTAAAGGATGTCATGCTAGGGACGCAGCAAAATACCATATTAAATATATTTTCCGCCCTACTACTATTATAGTATACACGAGTCTTTGGTTGTGCCTGGCGAATTATAGGTCTAATCTACCCGAGATCTGCTCTTGGCTAGGGCCTTAGCCGAAACTTCTTGGCGCCACCGCACTCGACTTCACCCCTCATTCATGCTCAGAAAAATGCATGCTCAGAAAAATGCAACGCCTCTCGCACAAGACCATGGCCAGAGCAGCCATCCTCCCTGCTAACAGTGGCACACTGTTGAGAGCTTTAGGATTATTGCCACTCTAGCTACGTACGTGCTGTCCGCTCCGTCGCCTCTTAATAGAGTCAGCCACCATGCTAGCAGAAGGCCGTACTGCAGCAATTCTCTCCATCAACAACCCCGCTCTTGATGGATCGACTTCGGCTGGTGGCGCACTCAAAGCAGCAAGTCTGCTCCGAAGCGACTGGCACTTGGGATTAGTAGAGGGCGCCTAGGTTGTTAACTGTGTCGAGCGTTGATGTGTGCTCCCGCCCGGGTGCCTTCTTATACCCTTCTAGCGCCCGCTGGTGCATCTTCTCTGCCTCGCCTAACATGCCCTAGTCCGCGTAGAGGGGGTCCAAGTTGTTAACTGTCGAGAGTGTTGATGTGTGCTAAAACTTCTTAATCTCTTCTAACACTATAGCATTAATGTTGTAGCTAGCGCTAGTTAGCATCTTCTAGAGTCTCTTTATATAAAGGTGTCTAAATTAGTGGTAGAGGCAGTAAAGTTTTAATTTAGTAAAGAAAAACATAAATTTTTTTTTACTAATATTAAAAAAAAGTGTCTTTATTTTTATATATAATAACATTTAAAACATTATTAAAGTATGCTCTAAGTTAGTTTACATCTGCTAGTAATAGTAGAAATAGTGTTAGAGTTTTTAGAATGTAGTATGTAACTAGACTAATTAGGTTTTAGATTTATATAGTTGTCAGATTGAAGCACTGTTTCTGGGCTTCCTGAGATGAATGATGGGTTTGGATATGATGTATGGGATGATGATTGATTGTGTTTTTTTTATCAATCCTTTTTCTGCTCTGCTCGTGTTGCTCGGCTTTGTTTTTCCGGTCCGAGTCCCTCGCGCACTTGCCCTATGCGCGACCAGTTTGCAACATGCTGCAATTTGTTGCAAAATGCTGCAACATGCTGCAGTTTGTTGCAAAATGCTGCAACATGCTGCAATTTGCAGCAACATACTGTTCGAGCTTATTGCTCGTACTATGTAGCAGCTTTCGTCCAGCGTTCCCCCTGTCTTGACAGTAGATGCGCATATCTGACAGCTGCATAAGGGCAAACCACAATCTAGTCATCCTACCATACTCCATTTAGCCTAATAGCCACCCGAGAGGACTGTACACCCTACTTGGCGGCCCCTATTCTCCGTCGTGCTCCCCACCCAGGAACAACACTGACCCGCGCACTTCCCCGAAGTGAGGATTGTAACACTAGAGCTTATTATATATAAGTAACGTACTTCATGGGCGAGTTGCTCACACACCCGAGTCGCTCACTTTTGCCAAGACCCCACCCCAACAAACTCTATTATGGCCCATAACAACCCGCTCTGGCACTATATAGTACAGTACAGCCTAGAATATCATTTAGATACTACTTCTGCTTCTTGCTTACACGTTCGCGCGTTATGCCCAGTCTAATTGCACTGTCTGCAGCGCCTTTAGGATGGCTCACCCACTTCAGCTTGCACCTGCTTCTTCGCCTTCTTCCCATCACTGCGCGCCCTAAACTCCTTTAGAGCTGTTAAGCGCAGGCCTTCCTAAATTGTTAAGGTCTTTTCTGCCTTAATCTGCTTTCTTTTATGCAATTTACATTACATAGCAGCCTTATTAGCTGCTTAAAGCTTAGTAATTTCCTGTTACGCTAACACTAGCTTGTGCGCAATTATTGCTGCCCCCTTTAAAACCTTTTTAAACACCTTAACTATAAAAGTTAGTAAACTATTTATATGCTTTTAAATTTTTATCTTTACAAGCATTAATTACAACCTAAGTTCTAGAGTATTACTTAGAGTTTACAACTACTAGGGCTTGTTATATACAGGTAGTAGTAGTAATAAAGTGCGCAACTTTACATTAAGGCCTATTATAACTTGTTATAAGTTAAAAGGAACTAATCTAGCGCTTTAAAACCCTTCTTAGATATTACTAAAAGTAATTACAGCATTATAAGCTGCTTTAAAGCATAGTAAGAACTTTATTTTTATAATATAAGTAATCTAGTTGTGCATAAGGTTTTTAGCTTAGCGCTTATACACTTTTTTTAAAAAAGTAAAACAACCTACATTAAGTAGCTATAAAAAGTGTAATAAGTAAAAAAGCATATAAATAGTAATAATCTTATTATTCTTATAGTATTACTAAAAATAAAGTAAGTTATAGCTCTTATAGCTGTTAATAACTAGCAGACAGTAGCTGCTAACAGTACACTTTTTTATATGCGCGTTAAAGTGCTTTAACTAGTCTAGACTAAGCTAATTAGTAGTCTAGCTGCGCTTAGAGATTATAATAACTTAATTCTAGAGTAGATTTTCCTTTTTATACTAGTTTAAAAAGTAGTTGCTACTCTAAAAGATAATAAAAAGCAGAATAGCCTACCTTTTAGCATTAATGCCCTAGATAGCTGTTGTCCACTCCTAGTTACCTAGCTAGACTGCTTTTAGCTGTCCTTATCTCTCTAAACCTGTAACAACTGCTCTAGTAGATATCTAGCCTATTATAAACCCTATCTTGTTAAAGTTGTACATGTTGTTATCCTAGATGCTATACTTAGCTTTAATATTCTCTATAAGGTTAAACTAGCTTTAAATTACTATAGAATCCTTATAAAAAGCTTTCTTATAGTTATACTTATGCTTAAACTTTACTTTAAGCTTTAAGTAACACTTAATAAACATATTAAGCTAGTTTATACTAACATAGCCTATATTATGCTTAGTGCGTAAAGAATTAGCTATATTAGCTACAGTTGCTAGCTAGGGGGGAAATCCTTGCGCATTTAGCTTAAGTATGTGCTAAATAATTACCTACTCTTTATTATTATCTAGCTTCTATAAGTTAGCTATATAATTAGCTTAGAAAGGTTATCTAGCGCGTTAGTTACTTATTATCTTTTAAAGGACTCTATAAATAGTTGCAGTGTGTTGCTTAGAAAGTGTTATGTTTTATTTAAAAGCTTAAAGCATAAGCTACATCTAATGTTCTTTTAACATGTTTAAGTAGTGTTATTAGAAATGCATTAGTATAGAAAAAGTAGTGTAGTAGGGTCTTAGCAAAAGTAAGCAACTTAGGTGTGTAAGCAACTCGCCTATAAAGTATGTTAGTAGTAGTAATAAAGTGTATAACTTTATATTAAAGCCTATTATAACTTATTATAGGTTAAAAGGGACTAATCTAGCGCTTTAAAACTCTTCTTAGATATTACTAAAAGTAATTATAGTATTATAAGCTACTTTAAAGCATAGTAAAAACTTTATTTTTATAATAACGTACTTCACAGGCGAGTTGCTCACACACCTGAGTCGCTTACTTTTGCCAAGACCCTACTAAACCACCCTTTCTACACTAATGCATTCCCTATAACACTACTTAGACGCGCTAAAAGAATGTTAGATACAGCTTACACTCTAAGCTTTTAAACAAGACATAAAACTTTTAAAGAAATGTGCTGTAGCTATGTGTAGAGTCTTATAAAAGATAATAAATAACTATAGCACTAGACAACTTTTATAAGCTAATTCTACAGCTAAATTATAGAAGCTAGGTAATAAAAAGAAGCAGGTGATTATTAAGACTATACTTAAGCTATATGCGCAAGGAATTTCCCCTTAGATAGCATTTATAGCTAATATAGCTAATTCTTTGCGCGCTAAGCGTAATCTAGGCTGTAACAATCCTCATGAATTGTTCTATCTTAAGTCGCCTAGAACCTCTAGAAGGCCCTTGTATCAGCCCTGACCTTAACCTGGCCCTGACCCCTGCTGTTACCCCTATTCCCTCATGTATTTAGTCGCACCTCGCCCCTGTAGCTAGCTCGGTAGTTTTCTGATATCCTTTTGTACTAGGCCTATAGGTGTCAATGGCATTCCCAGGTTCAGAGTCCCCACGCACTCCCATATGCCTCTGAGTGGATTCCCACCGCATTCGGACCTATTGTCTTGCCTGCGCCGTTACATAGGCCATGTTTGCATAAACTGGCCTAGTACGTTTGTAAAGCGTTATTTAGAGCTTAAAGTAACGTTTAAGCGTAAGTACAACTATAAAAGAGCCCTCTACAAGAGTCCTAGGGTAATTTAGGGCAGGTTTAGCCTTGTGGAGAATATTAAAGCTAAGTATAGCATCTAGGATGATAACACGTACAACTTTAGCAAGATAGGGTTTATAATTAGCTAAATATCTTGTAACTATACTTGCGCTTAAAACTTTACTTTAAGCTCTAAATAACGCTTTATAAATGTACTAGGCTAGTTTATATAAACATAGCCTAGATTACGCTTAGCGCGTAAAGAATTAGCTATATTAGCTATAAATGCTATCTAAGGGGAAATTCCTTGCGCATATAGCTTAAGTATAGTCTTAACAATTACCTGCTTCTTTTTATTACCTAGCCTCTATAATTTAGCTGTAGAATTAGCTTGTAAAGGTTGTCTAGCGCTATAGTTATTTATTATCTTTTATAAGACCTTACACATAGCTACAGCACATTTCTTTAAAAGTTTTATGTCTTATTTAAAAGCTTAGAGCGTAAGCTGTATCTAACATTCTTTTAGCGCGTCTAAGTAGTGTTGTGGGGAATGCATTAGTGTAGGAAGAGTAGTTTAGTAGGGTCTTAGCAAAAGTAAGCGACTTAGGTGTGTAAGCAACTTGCCTGTGAAGTACGTTATAAGTAATTTAGTTATATATAAGGTTTTTAGCTTAGCGCCTATATACTTTTTTTTAAAAGAGTAAAACAACCTACATTAAGTAGCTATAAAAAGCGTAATAAGTAAAAAGGTATATAAATAGTAATAATCTTATTATTTTTATAGCATTACTAAAAATAAAGTAAGTTATAGCTTCTATAGCTGTTAATAACTAGCAGATAGTAGCTGCTAACAGTACAATTCTTTATATATATATTAAAGTGCTTTAACTAGTCTAGACTAAGCTAATTAGTAGTCTAGCTGCACTTAAAAACTATAATAACTTAATTTTAAAGTAATTTTTTTATACTAGTTTAAAAAGTAATTGCTACTTTAAAAAATAATAAAAGGTAAAATAGCTTACTTTTTAGTATTAATACTTTAAATAACTATTATCTACTTCTAGTTACCTGTTAGATATGCGCACCTACTGTCAAGACAGGAGGAACGCTGGACGAAAGCTGCTACATAGTACGAGCAATAAGCTCGAACAGCAAGTTGCTGCATGTTGCAGCATTTTGCAACAAATTGCAGCATGTTGCAGCAAATTGCAGCATTTTGCAGCAAATTGCAGCATGTTGCAGCATTTTGCAATATTCTGCAACAAATTGCAGCATGTTGCAAGCTGGTCGCGCATAGGGCTAGTGCGCGAGGGACTCGGATCGGAAAAACAAAAGCCGAGCAACACGAGTAGAGCAGGAAAAGGATCAATAAATAAACACAATCAATCATCATCCCACACATCATATCCAAACCCATCATATCTAAACCCATCATTCATCTTAGGAAGCCTAGAAACAGTGCTTTAATCTAACATTACCTAGCTAAGCTACTTTTAGCTATTCTTATCTCTCTAAACTTATAATAATTGCTTTAGTAGATATCTAGCCTATTATAAACTCTCTTTTATTAAAGTTATATATGTTATTATTCTAAATGCTATACTTTGTTTTAATATTCTTTATAAAGTTAAACTAGCTTTAAATTACTATAAAATTTTTATAAAAAGCTTTTTTATAGTTATACTTATACTTAAACTTTACTTTAAGCTTTAAGTAGTGCTTAATAAATATATTAAGCGAGTTTATGCTAATATAGCCTATATTATGCTTAGCGTGTAAAGAATTTGCTATATTAGCTATAGCTACTAGCTAAGAGGGAAATTCTTCTACATCTAGCTTAAGTATGTGCTAAATAATTACCTACTTTTTATTATTATTTAGCTTTTATAAGTTAGCTGTATAATTAGCTTAAAAAAGTTGTCTAGTGTGTTAGTTACTTATTATTTTTTTAAAAGACCCTATAGATAGCTGCAGCGTGTTACTTAAAAAGTGTTACATTTTATATAGAGGATAAAATAGCCTAGCAGTAGCTGTGTCAGATTGAAGCACTGTTTCTAGGCTTCCTAAGATGAATGATGGGTTTGGATATAATGTATGGGATGATGATTGATTGTATTGATTTATTAATCCTTTTTCTGCTCTACTCGTGTTGCTCGGCTTTTTGTTTTGCCGATCTGTCGGGGCAGGTAATCGATGAAATGTCTTGGCATTCTCGCTTCGTCAAATCCCCCACCCAAATTACTAGCCGAGTCAGACCAGCGCGCAATAATCGGCCTATCGCGTATATATCAGACTTGCTCTCGTCGTCAAAGTGAGGCCTGTGGAATTGCCTAATTGGGTAATTGTGAAGCTGACTTTTGGTGTTTTGCAGATGGTTTTCGCGAGCTCTGTAGACGCTCCTCCAGCCAAATCTACGCGTTTGAGTAGCCGTGGCAAAGCACCTCCTAAAGCACCTACCCGGGCACCAAAGAAGGCACAGAAGGCTTATCCTAAGGCTTGTAAGCAAGCAGCAGCAGCAGCTGCTGCTGCTGCCAAACAGCGTTTGAAGAACTCAGTTGCCTTTGTAGAAGCTCCTCCTTCGCCTCTAGCTTCTATCGTCGAATTGCCGTCGTCTCCGCCACCTGTTCCGCGACCTGTTCCGCGACCTGCTCTGTTACCTGCCCTGCCACCTGCTCTGCCACCTGCTCTGCCACCTGCTCTGCCACCTGCTCTGCCACCTGCTCGAGCTTCGTCGCCCGTTGAACCTGAGCAGCCACAGTATGAGATTAATATACAATATTCGCTTCGCGTTAACACAGTGAGGAGGCCTGGGGATGTAGAGAGCACCGAGCGATGCTTCCTCCTCCTATTGTCAATGGAGGATAAGGTGATGGCGTTGATCGACAACCCAGCATCTACAATTGATGGACGGGAGTACACCTGGCAGAGTCGCGTTGTTTAGTTTAAATGTAACAGGAGGGGTGCTACTTTCCAGCAGCTCCTACTTACTAATTTTAGCTTAACAGAGGAGATTTGCCTATTTAACGCTGTTAATCTCCATTTTAAGCGTTATAAGGGTGCTACGCGCGTAGAGTTTTAAGTAGAGATCTCTCTACAGGTTAAGGCATTAAAGAAGGCGTTTATATGTAACACATTAGTAAACAAGCTATCCTCACCACCTGCAAAGGATAATACCCTAATAACAGGCGGAAGACGTACGCAGAAGCTTCTGCGCGAAGCCTAGGCTATTAATTGCGTTACTGCCATTAAATCTAAGCTAGATTATTAGTTAATAATCTATAAGATGTGGCAATGCAGTGTAGCTAGTTGTAATAACTTTAGGAGATAGTGTTATATCTATCTAAACAGCAGCTACTATAAGATTAAGCCTGTTAATGCTAAGCAGTAGTTGCAGTTAATTGTTAACAGCAAGTCCTTAGCTATGCTCCCTTATCTAGATGTAATTAAGGTGTTAAAGCTACGCGGGAATTAGCTTAAGTTTAATCCCTATAGCCGCTAGAGAAAGAAGAAGCGGCAGGACTTATTATTATTATTAGATAGAGGCCTATTAATTAGGAAGCTGTAGAAGCAAGCTAAAAAGCAGCGTGTATTAAATTAGATAGTGCAGATGGAGGAAGACAAGGTTGCTTAGGCTAAGAGGCGTAAGCTTTAAGAGTTTTAGCTTTAGCAGATAAGGGCAGCAGCTCTACCTCCTTTAGTTCTGCTAGCTTACTTTAATCTACAATATTAACAGCCTTACTAAGCAGAGACACTAGCATGAAAGCCTATTCTAGTTCTCTTATCTAGCCTAGTGGCTGGAGGAGGCGAAGAGGATACTTGAGAGGTTGTACAGAAGTTCTTTGCGTGGCTTATTGTACAGCAGCTAGAGGACGAGCGCGCTGATTTTAAACAGGCTCGTAAGGTAGCTGTTGAACAGAGATAGACTATTAAGGATCTCTGCTAAATAGCTAACTTTAAAGGCGACCTCTATTCTATTGCTATAGGATTTAGCCTTAAGGATGGCGTAGTTTAACACCTTAGCAAGGATCTCTGCTGTTTTAAGCAGGTATATTGTACGGCAGGCAGCCTTCTCACCCTCGGCGGAGGTGCTAGAGCTGAGGTTAGTGGGTAGGTGAGAGGTGAAGACAATGCAACGTAAAAGTGCTTTATATATTACTATTGTATATAGAGACACCCTATATAGCATTAATGGAATTATTTAGTACTATAGAATCTCGCGCCTCACCTAATTAAGCTCCTCCTGCTTAATATATAGTCCGCCAGCAGCGTATTTGAAGTGCTTCTTTGCAAATCCATCACAGTTGCTCTTGTGAACAGCAGCGGCTAAGAAAGCTCTAAAGTCACCTCTATAACAAGCGCGCACATACACGTAGTTCCTCTAAATCTAAGCCTTTAAAACTGCAAAGGTAAGCTTAATAGGATTATAATTAGGCAAGTATAGAGGCAGATAACAAACAGAATAGCCAGCAGCCTGAATAACAGTCTCTACTTCATCGTTTGTGTAGATAGCAACGTTATCAAGTATAACAACCATGTGTTTAGGACCGTACACTAAGCAGAGTGTGGGAATAAGGCTGTTCTGAATCCACTTAATAAAATCCTCCCTGTTAAAGTAGCCTTCCTTAATCGCCGTACATGGAAGGTAGCCGTGTACAGTATACGCAGGTAGAATTGCCTAGGTGTCTCCTTGCTTAATGCTCTAAGTATAACAGCTCTTATAGCCTACAGGAGCATAAGCATGGTGCCGCCAGCCAGTCTTCTTATTAAATATTAACTTGTCTAGAAACACAAGGTCATTAGCAGCAAATTGCCTCATAGCGCAGCAATAGCGCTCCCTTAACTCCTCGTTACAATTAATAGAGTATGGCCTTAGGCTTCAGCAGCTCCAACCTTAATCCTTTAGGAAGTTTCCTACACACCTGCGGCTTACCTTAAGCCCGCGTTTAATAAGCAGCCACTTAACTATTTCATCTTAATACATCCATCCAGAACAAACAAGCTGCTCAAACAGAGCCTCAGCGTCTTCCCTAGCAATCTTCGGTGGCTGTCCAAGCTTCTTTGTAGGTGGCTTTCGCACGCTGCTATGCTCCTTCAAGTTCCTTATTACATTATACACAGCACCTCTACTACAGCCCTCACGATCAGCGATGAGCTGAGGCTCCCATCCAAGAAGGAGAAAGCGCACAATATTCCGGCGGGTTTGATCAGAGAGGCCGCGGGTGCTTAGAGGCAGAGGACGTGGTTGCTGGAGCTGAGGTGCTCGAGAAAGCCCGTGGGCGCGATACATGGGCGTGTAGGGTAACGCCAAACGGCTCTCTAAAACATCAAAGTTAGCCTCACGATTACCTGATTAGGCAATGATTCGGGATCAACTCACGAGCTCTTGTAGATGCGTCGATAGGTGAAAATGCGGGCTAGTTGCGCGTTGGGTCTGACGCGGCTAGTAATTTGGGTGGGGGATTTGACGAAGCGAGAATGCCAAGACATTTCATCGATTACCTGCCCCGACAGATCCGAGTCCCTCGCGCACTTGCCCTATGCGCGACCAGCTTGCAACATGCTGCAATTTGCTGCAACATGCTGCAAAATGCTGTAAAATGCTGCAACATGCTGCAAAATGCTGTAAAATGCTGCAACATGCTGCAAAATGCTGCAATTTGCTGCAACATGCAGCAATTTGCAGCAACATACTGTTCGAGCTTATTTCTCGTACTATGTAGCAGCTTTCGTCAAGCGTTCCTCCTGTCTTGACAGTAGGTGCGCATATCTGACACTCTTAGTGTACGCGACATTTTATTTAAAAGCTTAAAGTGTAAGCTGCATCTAACATTTCTTTAACACATCTAAGTAGTGTTGCTAGGAATGCATTAGTGTAAGAAAAGTAGTATAGTAGGGTCTTAGTAAAAGTAAGCAACTTAGGTGTGTGAGCAACTTGCCTGTAAAGTACGTTAACACTAAACTATTTTGCTATCTAAGTAATATTAGGTTTTTTACCTAGATGTAGTAATTCTAGCGCTGTTAACGCAGCTAAAATTAGGTCTCTATTAGTGGAGTTAGAGTTATGTTGAAATTTTGAATTTTCTGAAGCGAGTGTGCGCCAGGTGAAACCGTGCGTCAGATGCCAAGCTACGGTACGCGCTAGAACACGGGAAGCATGCTGATTCCCGCGCTAAAATACAGAGTCTATAGTACGAAACAGAGAAACCTTTTACAGATCCTCTTTAAGAGTTGATTTATTATATTCTTTTCACAGGAGTATACAGCCAAGGTACCGAAATGAGATAATATGCAATTGAGCTTGATGGAGCAGGGGTGCAAAATGAAAGCAGTTTCTGACACTCTGAAGAGAACAGACGATACAATCAACATTATTGTATTCTTAAGCTACAGAATAGATCTTAGAGAGGAATATATATAGAATCTTATTATATTACTCGGGACTTAAAAGAACGGTGGAGAAAATTATTAGGTTGCTAAAAAAATAGATTCGTTTCGGCACAGGTGGTTTTTCGCTACGCGTGGAGGAACGTTAGTATCTATTGTGTGCAAAAATTGGGAAATTTCTTGGCGTTCCTTAGATCTTTTTTTTCCTTACTAAAATTGCATAGGAGATCACAATCTTAATAGAATTCCTAATATATTAATAAATCCTTTTTAAATATTGTTAGTAAGTTAAAGCCTTAAGTTTATATAAAAATACTGCTCTTAGCTTAATTTTTAGAGTAACAGGACAACAATGGGCCTAAAACAGAAGGCCAGAGCAGCCCTAGCTACCTAGACGCGTTAAATTAACCTTAGTAGCAACCTACTAGCCTATTCTATGCGTGTGAGGGCACAGGGCCTGTTAAGCAAGCGTAAGGAGACTGCTAGTAGTACTAAACTAAAGTTAGCGCGTTATAAGTTAACCTAATAGTAAGAGCAAAGTAGGAAAAGCTTACTATATCCTAGCGCCTACTAAGAGCAAGCCTGCACCCTAGAAAGTAGTAAAAGCAACTAAACAATCTGCTCCTCCTGCTCTAGCTTAGCAAGAAGCTGTTCCTATAGTTCCTGCCTGTTACCCTAAGCCTAATACCTTATCTAATATACTTAGGGATGACCTTTTTTTGCTGCTAAGGAGCTCCCTTTTAACTTTTATCTTATCTTAGCCTGCTCCTGCTTCTGCGGCTGCTAGGGAGTCTTCCCCCCCTAATTAAATAGTGGAGTTTAACGTTGCTGTACAATATTTAGTGCGCGTGAACAGTAATAAGGCTAATAGTAGGCTAGTAGATAAGGTTATTTCTTAGGCGTTTTTCTTGCTCTTGCAGGTAGAGGATTAGGTTAATGCTATAATTAAGGGCCCTTTTGTATAAAAGCATGTAAAGGCTTAAGATTTCTATATTACCTTACGCGCTGTTTAATATAGGGCTAACAAGTAGGGGGCTAGCTAGCAGCTCTAAATAATAGAGGACTTTAGGCTTAGTAAAGAACAGAGGCTGTTCTTTAGCGTTAAACACTATATAAGGCGCCTTAAAGGCGCAGATAGGGTGGATATTAAAGTAGAGGTAAAGCTTATGTGTAAGGTAATAATAAAAGCCTTTCTATGTAACTAGTTAGTAAATAAGCCTTTATCTAATCCTCCTATTACTCTAGGCTACAGAGAAAAGTTACCCTAGCGTATACAGTAGCTGTTAAATAAGAATTGTACTTATTAAAGGATCTAGGATCTTACTACTAGTATTAATAGCTAGAGTTAGATCTCTTATATATAAAAGTGCTAGGTATTAACCTATAACAACTTTAAGCACCTCTGCTATGTTTACTAGGCTACTTATAAGCACTTTGCTGTAAAAGACGCTAATTTAGAGTTGTAGGCTTAGGTAATCTTTAAAGGCTAAGCATATGTAAATTAGCTACTAATAGAGCTTATATAATACTAGCAAACTTTAATAGGGAACTAGCTAAGAGTAAACCTGCATAATAAGTAAAAAAAGAAGTGTTATAGCTTCTTATTATCTTTAAGTAATAAAGATAAGCTTAGGAAGATAATAAAAGTAGCTAAAAAACATAAGATCTAAGAGAGACTATAGGCTATAAAGAAAGCAGCTAATAAACAGTAGAAGGCTTAGAAGATAAGAAAGTAAGCTTTTTAACAGTAGCAGCTTTAGCAGCAGTTTTAATTAACTAACTATAATATGTTAGGTCTAAGAAATCTGCTGTTTCTGTTTTTAAATGTACTTTATCTGCTTTTTACTTCTTTAACAGCTGCTCTCTGCCTAGAGACTTTTAAACAACCTATACCTATTCTAAGCTTAAGCCCTATTGCTAGCAGCAGAAAAGATAACTTATAGGTGTTAGTAAAAAAGTTTTTTAACTAGCTTGTTAAACAACAACTAGTTAAAGATTATAAAGACTATATATAGGCAAGGGATATAGTAATAGAGTAGAAGTAGATGTTAAAGGATCTTAAAAAGATGTTAATCCTTTAGAGTAAATTATATATAGTAGCAGTAGAGGCTCTGTTTAGGTTAAAGGATAGAATAGTATATTATTTTTATAATAAGCTTTGTTAATTTAAACCTAAATATTAAACTACTTAAGAACTATTAAATATTTATAAGGTAACAGAGCAGAGATTAAGTGCTAAGGAGGAAATTTAATAGACTTAGGATTCTAACAAACGCAGAGTTTTTAGTAGCTAAATAAGGTTAATTAGAGTTTAATGTCTTATTGTTTTATAACCTAATATCCTTATAGTCTCTGTTATCCTAGGAATCCTTATTACAACCTTGTTAAGCGCTAATTTTAGCTCTTACCTAATTAAGCTCCTCTAGCTCTATATATAACTCTCTAGCAGCGTATGTAAAGTGTTTTTTAGTAAAATAATTACACTTACTACTCCTAATTGCGTCCTTAAGGAACAGGCTAAAGCTTGTATACTGCTACTAATAGTATAAATAGTTCCTCTTAATCTATGCCTTTAATACCCTAAAGGTTAACTTAATAGGATTATAGTTAGGTAAGTACAGTAAGAGGAAACAGATAATGTAGCTAGTAGCCTTAAGGATAGTTGTAACAGCTTATTCTAATAGATTAAGACGTTATTAAGGACTATAACTATAGGCTAGGTCCTGTAGGTTGCTTAAAGTAAAGAGAGGAGGCGCTGCTTAATCTAATTAATAAACTCTTTATAATTAAAATATTCTTTCTTTACCCCTGTACAAGGCAGGTATCTGTTTACTGTATAGGCTAGGAGGATGGCCTACGTCTTCCCGCGCCTTATATCCTAAGTATATTAACTTTTATAGCCCACAGGCCTATAAGCCTTATGCTGCTAGCTAGTTTTCTTATTAAAGATAGACTTGTTAAGAAACACTAAATTGTCCTATGTAAACTAATAAAGAGAGCAATAGTAGAGCTCTTAAAGCTCCTTATTATAAGCCTGCAAGAAAGGCTGTAAGGTACGCCTGCTTTATCTATACTAGGTGAGGTAACAGGAGATTGTAGATCTATTAACCTTTACGCCTCTTTCTATCTATAGCTAATAGGCTTGTTTGTCCTAGTATCTCTATCTGCTGCAGATTAACTTCTTAAACAGAGCTTTGCTATCTTTATTGCTAATTTTAGAAGGTCTTCTAAGCTTTATAGTGGGTGGCTTACAAACACTGCTATAAGCCTTAAGATTATTCTCTACATTATAAACTGTGTAGAGAGAACAACCCTTATAATTAGCAATTGCAGTTCTAGGCTATCTAAGCAGAAGAAACTAACAGATGTTTATACAAATGCAATTATTAAGCCCTTAGGTGCTTAGTTTAAGATATTAGGGTGATCAGGGCTGGCTAGGAAGGATGGAGACGCTATAAGCGCGATACATTGCAAACAAACGCGTTGTTACTCCTAAAAAAGTTAGTATAGGCGCTTCTCTATACAAACTAAAGGCTTTAACCTACCTAGGGCTAATCTAATTGTTATTTGTTGATATATTAGGAATTCTATTAAGATTCTGATCTCCCATACAATTTTAGTGGGGGAAAAAAAGATCCAAGGAACGCCAAGAAATTTCCCGATTTTTGCACACAATAGATGAGGAAAGCTCGGGAACTGCCCCGTAACAGAACACTGTTGTCTTGCATCTGCCGTCTTGCCCATTCATGAACGTGCTCTACGCGGTAGGTGTATCAAGGGCAATCCCTACTGTGTATCCCTGGGAAAGACGCTTAATGGTCCTCTTGATATAGTATTAGGAGTTTAGAAATTCTCCAAAGTCCGAGGGCGATATGGAATCGAGCGCAAAGCATGAGTGCATGGAGTCCGTAGGAGCTGACCAATGGAGGGCCTGTTGTGTGGCCATTGTGTTTTAGCCCACGACGAAGGATTGTGAAGTTCAACATATCAGCCAATTGCTTTGCGAGCGAGACCCAGTGGCTGGATCGCCAAGGTTCCTGGATAGCAGAAATGCCGAGGTCGATGAAAGGCAATTTTTCGTGTTGGTAATCACGCTAGGCACGCATATAGGGGAGCAGAATCCGTTCAGTTTTTATCATCAATTCCCGCGTTAGAAATTAGACTACGGCACGTGTTGTCTCGGTTCATCTGAGGATCTTTGGACATAGGACAGTTCCTGAGCCTACACCCTCAACTAAGTGATACTATTTGGCCTCGCTACTTCCCTGATCTCACGTGGTGAAGTTCGAAATCTGTGACAGCTGCCTTAGAGCCGTCATCCATCTTCACATATTCTTTGTTGGAGGTGTGGTGGGTCATATCCGCCGACCGTGGCTTGTTCCCTCTACCCGCGATCGTCCCAACGGCGGATCCAAAGGTATCGTTGATCCTCGTAGATAGTTTCTCCGCCGTTGTTCGGAGATAAGGTTTTAGTGCAATTAGAGAGGGCCCAATGATGGCGGCTGAAAGCTCTGATTGTGTGGGAATCCACATAGTGTAGCCATACTTGTCGAACTGGGGAGGAATCACTCGACTGGCTTGCGACATATACCCTATTTTCATTACCGCTGCCTCTGTTGTAGGAGAAATTCGGGAGTAGGCTCACATCTTGGGTCAATAGTTCCCGTTCGTCCCCACTGTAAGCCGAAAATTGCCAGCTTGTATGCGGCAGCGACACACGCTCTAATTGAAGGCAATCAGCAAGAGCCTGCTCCAGAGAAGAAGCCGCGCACTTACGATGTACCCAGAGCGAATATAATAATCACTCCAATACGCCTCTTTAACGGCATTTGTAATCCTATCACGGATCCGATGGGCAGAAACAGAAGTTCTAAATCTTGCAGAAGGCTGACGCTGTAGAGAAGGGCAGTATAGATCCAGTAGTTAACGTTGTCACCACAGTATTCACGCCTCTCAAATGGCTTCCAGAACTTATGAAGAGGCTTACAGAGGAATCCAGCATATGTTACGAAGCCAGCGATGTAGCAACCGACGAAGACCAGGGATGCCCGAATGACTATCCGCATGGGCTTGCTGGCTTTAGAGAAGACTCGGTCGTAGAATAGAAGAATGGATATGCGTACGAAGCCTGAAGCGAGAGGGTACAGGAAGGATGTCATAACGAGGCCCTATTGAAGGTTAAGAATGGAGCTACAGCAAGCATGACGGCTCACCTTGCCCCATAGCTCGAATTCTGGCATGGTGACCTCCCAAAGAGGCTTCCCGATGCCCGCTTTGGCATTCACATAGCATGCCATGATGGAGTGAGCAATGTAACACACCTGCGAGGAGTAAACACGAGTTTTTCTGCCACTGTTCACCATCAGCCCCACAGGAGACGTACCAGCGCTGGCACCATTGCCCAATCGTCGAGTCCAAAGGTCTTAGACTTCCAACGAAACACCAGGCGGAGCACAGCCGTCAAGCTGGCTACGATAAGAAAGACGATGATGAATATGGCTACATCCCATTTCTTGTGTATGTCATTCAGCTGAATCGGCGGTGCAAGAAGGTTAGGGTCGGGACCAACATCCATCGTGAGGCATAGAATCGCAGTCGGATGGATTACAACAGCTGAGTTGGAGTGGAAGAGGGAAGGCAATTAAATGACGGCAAAGCAGAGCGCACGCTCCCCCGGGGCCCGTTGCAAGGGAAATGCATCTGCATCTTTTGTTGCGAAGAACGTTTCGTGCCCGCAAAGCTATGGCCGGCTCCTGCATGTACTATGGAGACAACGGTACGGGCCGGAGCGATGCCCGGACTTCAAATCGATCTCCGCTACGATGCATGCCCCACACCAGTCACAACGGACTATTGCACCCCGAATTCGGGATATGGAGGGCAAGCCTGCGGCTATGCGCGATTTGGCATTGTAGTAGCCTTCTGCTGGTATGGAGGAACAGTGGGATAGGCGGACCTGAATAATTGGTGACAGAGTTGCCGCACGAACGACTTCACTAGTGATGGAAATCTAAGGAATAGTAAGGATCCGGCGAGCAGGCACGGACCACAGTAAGCTTACGCCGAGATTGAATGGGCTGCACGTTGGAGTGATGAGCAACTGAAAAGTGCAGAGAACCCGGCACATTCTTTTTAAGCGAAGTGTCGGCCTCCCACTGATCGGCAATAATACTATGCGATAAGACCACCTTCGTTCCCCATCGCTTCATGGGCGGGCAAATCGTCGCTGAAACGGGGAGGTCTCCATTCTTTTCCGTGCCGTCTCCCAGTCAGTAGTCCACTCCCTGTAGTAAGGTTGGTATCCGAGAATACCACCTAGCCACCTTCCGAGGATGATACCCATAATTCGGGAGATGGTCATATTGAATGGGATCAAGGATGGCAACGCGAGACATGAGCCTCCAGCATCAAACATCTGCCTTGGGTTAGCTCCCATGATATAATAGAGAAGACGGTGGCCTTGGAAGTTGGCACACTTACGCAAAGCACTTGAATGAGGTCGATCCCTTCCCCTCCAGGGGCCAATGCCTGATCCATGTACCTATAGTAGTTCTCGTAAAAGATGAAATCCAGCATGTATGGGCCGACAGCTGCTGGGCTGCTCAACAGAAATTTGGTGAACCGCTGCCCAGGGAATGGTGGTCCTGGAATAACTCGATTTCGGACCCATGGAGGTACTTGAAGCTCAGGTTTGAGAGGTGTGAGTAAAACACGCCTAGTCCCAACATCAACGTAGAGGCTACCTTCTAACACCTGAAAATATTCGACTTGAAGATAGTGAAAGTGCGTGGGCGGCTTCTGCTTTCGTAAATTTTCTATGTGCAGATGGTTGTTGTCGAAAGTAACTTCGAGATTGAATACACGCCCGTCTGGTGGCAGAAGACGGCGGACACTGATTGCACCGTCAAAGCTAAAGTTGTTAGTACACGTCAGAACGAGCAATTGTGGTGGAGTACATACACCACTACCGGATCCTGTCCAGCTGTAGTCGACTTTGGACGTGGAGGAACCATTTGCGAATAAAATGTTAGGAACTGTTCAGACAAAACCTATATTTATGCTAAATGCCAAGGTGCTTACTATACGACGGATTTTAGTAATCCCAGCCGGCGGATCAGACTAGATTAACTATATGTTACGATCCCCGATAGGACCGTAACCGAGTGTCCGAGTGCTGCACCTTGGTTCGTGGTGTCAGATTGAAGCACTGTTTCTGGGCTTCCTGAGATGAATGATGGGTTTGGATATGATGTATGGGATGATGATTGATTGTATTGATTGATCGATGATTTTTTTTTTTTTGTCTGCTCTCCTCGCGTTGCTCGGCTTTGTTTTTCCGGTCCGAGCCCCTCGCGCACTAGCCCTATGCGCGACCAGCTTGCAACATGCTGCAATTTGTTGCAAAATATTGCAAAATGCTGCAACATGCTGCAATTTGCAGCAACATACTGTTCGAGCTTATTGCTCGTACTATGTAGCAGCTTTCGTCCAGCGTTCCTCCTGTCTTGACAGTAGGTGCGCATATCTGATACGTATATAAGCATGAATCCTGACAAGCGAGGCTTGGCAGCGATTCGTCTCTCTTACATCATCAAATAATACACTATCTCTACCGCCAAGCCCTCTCTCCTATTGGTCTGGATATAAGCCGGTTATTGATCTGATTGGTAGAAAATCAAATAACCAAAAAGCTTTGTTGTTCTACGTTTTTAAGCCTCAAGTAATCATTCTGCTCTGCTACATGCTTGATCTGGCCTTCTTTTTTCCCTATCATGATCGAAGACGACGCGGTCGGGGGTGTTAAAATCACTTCTGCTGCGTGGTTTTTCCTTCCAAATATGATTGGCGCTGCCAAGACCTTCCAAGCAAAGCCCGTTATCCTTCCTAATCGGGACTAGCCACTTTCTTCCTGGAAAGGAAGGATAATCTGCTCGTACACTCCTATCTTTCTCCGAAAGCTTGCTCTCAGTGCTATCCGTGCTATCTACCATCCCATCTTTACACTCGCTAGTCCTCGGGACTAGCATTTAGTATTGTCTAAGGTAAGGTATTGTAACACTTCTCTAGCCTCTTGCTAGTAGGATTCTTGTCAGATATGCGCACCTACTGTCAAGACAGGAGGAACGCTTGACGAAAGCTGCTACATAGTACGAGCAATAAGCTCGAACAGTATGTTGC